GTTGCAACAACTTGAGCAGGCATGTGTTGATTGTAGTAAATTTATTGATTATGTGAAAGACACGTAGTTGACTCCACATAGGCAGAGATTTGTTGAAGCATGGATTAATCGAGTGCTTTATTTGGGTACCACCACGACTAATTGGTATGTACTATTTTTAGTATTTTTACCATGTATTATGCATTATTTTTTATTATGTATTATTTTTTAGTGTTTTTAATATGTATTATTTTTAGGATTGAGTCTACATATTGAAATTTAAAGTATATGTTGGGGAATAGTATGGGTTACTTGACTATGAATCGCTATAATGTCGTACTTGTGCATTTAGGCAATCCGTTCTTGACTTTTTTTTCCTATAACAAGCTCACATTCACCAAATGTCTCTATTTACTGCATTGATTTTGTAAACCATAATCATTTGGTTCATGTGCTTACTTTAATTTAATTAATATATGACTAACTTTACTTTTTCTAATATATGACTAACTTTAACTTTTCTAATCAGGTAAACATGAAAGAGGGTTTTTGTTGCCACCAGTCACATTAGATTGGAAGAGGTTTCGTTCTTCAGTTACAATATCTTGGATGTTAGGATTTGCAGGACGTCTAAACCTTTGGCAATAACTTACGCGTGTCTTACCATCTTGTATTAACTTATAATAAGTATACTATTTCATTGAGTATTAAAACATGTAATCAAAACATGAAAATTAAACTATGTCATTGAGTTTTAGTTTATATATCTCAAGATCGCATAACTGATAAGAGATTAAAAATAAGTGTAAAAGTTAATGCATATGAAATTAAACATAGGTATAAACATAAGTATAAACATAAGCATAAACATAAATCAATGCGAACGAGAAATCTGTAAAGCTTCAAATAAATCAACAAACTATGGGTCATCCTCGTCAGCAGTAACTTGTCGGAGATAACGATGAAGCAAGGTGGAAACATGAGCCCAACTCGGATCAGATGGTTCTGATTCGTAAGAAAGAACGGGCACCTCTCTTGGCGCATCATTGTTGGGCGGTACCAATCGAGGATGTGTTACATGATAATAACACTTCAAGTATCCATCAACAGTCTCACTTAGAATAATGGCCAATGTTGTCAGAACAGAAAACTTCAATGACACTCTGATGATAAATATTGTACCCCAAAATTTTCTCTCTTATTTATCAAGTATTTTCTCACAAGATCTCCTTTGGTGCAAGACTGCACAAGGGCTGATCAGCTCAAGACACCTCCTTAAGCACTGATGATTGAAATTAAGGTTTGAGATTGCACAAGGATAATTGAACTTTTAATGCCTAATATGACTTTCATAGATCATTATGTACCCCCAAGATTTCTCATGTCAACTTTCAAGTCTTGGATCACATTTTTGCTCAGTCAATTGATTAATTGACCTAAAAATCAGTTGTATTGGGAAAAAAGTCAACTATGGACAATTTACAGTCAAACTTCATAATTTTTTATCCATATCAACATTGTGAACTCCTATATGTCATTTTATCAAGTTTGGACCATAATTCCTCAAGAAATTTGATCAGATCATCAAAAGGGTAAAATGGTCAAAAATAGGGTTTTGACTGAGAAAGGGCAATTTCTGATTTTTGACCTAGCAAATGGTTAATTGGTTTGAGGCATGATTTCAATATTTCAATTTCATCATTTTTACCTAATGGCATGACTCAAAACATCCCTCAAGATCAATTGATTGATAGTTGATTTTCAGTCAACTGATCAAAAGGCAACTGTACACTGAAAAGTCAAACTTTAACTTTTTGGTCAAAATCAAGTGTCAAAGATCACAATTCATCAAAACATGTCAAAATATGAAACTTTTTCATTAAGAAATCAAAAAGTCAAGATTTCATTTTGAAAAGTCAAAGTTTCCAAACTTAGAAAATTTTCTAAGTGTTGAAAATTTCGTGTTTTTTCATAATTTTGAGCCATTTTTTCACCATGATGCAAGATGATTCAAAGGAAACTTTCAACCTGAAAGTTGTAGATCTCAATGAGATCTAAAACATTTCTTTACACAACTTCTCCTATAAATGCATGGATTTCAAGTTATGATTTTTGCGAATACATGTTCATTAAACTAAATACTTAGTGAAAATTTTGCCCTAGTTTAGACAGGATTTTGACCTAACTTCATGGCAATTTTTCACATAGTTCCAATGGGAATTTTCAAAAGTGATTCAAAGAGGGGTTGTAGAGCATATTACAAGCTTTTTAAAATATCCAGGAACTCCTTGAGATCATGTTTGAGCAAGGAGAATCGAAGGCATGAAGTTGGCATTTCATTCTTGAATTATAGGTCAATTTCATGATGAGCAAGAATTCAAATATATGTTTAGGCTGCACAATCTTTGCTTTGAAGGCCTCAAACTTGCTTGGCACTCCATAATTAATGTTTGACACAGCTGTTAGAGGCTTCAACTCAAGCATTCAATGCACTTCCCATGCTTATTTCCATTTTGGGAAGAAAGTGCACATTACCATTTTGGAATAGTAACTTTATGCACAAAATCTGTTCTTGAGCTTTGCACTTGTTCTCTTCTGATCATACACGATCTATAACCCAAAAGAAGTTTGTCTCAAGCCTCTAACAAGTCAGCCCATGCTTGTACTTTACCTTGAAACCATGTTTTCACTTTTCTTCAAAATCAAGTAACATAGCCATAACTTGTACTTGTGTGATTCTGGCCCTCTCAAGCCTCACATCCTTTTCTTTACTTATGCACAAGTCATTTGCATCAAGAGACACACATACACAAGCCCTCAAACTCCCTAGAACTCAGAACTGTATCACAAATCACCATTGTTGCACATTCTGACCAAAAACTTGAAACTCACATCTCCCTCGTGCGTTTCCAAGCCTTTAGATTCCTAAAGCTTCTAAACATCAAATACAACTCATCCCTGACCCTGTTTCATAACTGTAACACCTCCATCATCAAGTTCTATTTTCAAAAATAGAGCTCTGCAAGTGGACTTCTCCAGAACTCCTCAACTACTTTCAGCTCAAGCCAAGCATCACATCAGCTTCCTGGGAACTTGAGGAAGCTAATCCAATCACTAGAACTCATTGAAAGCTGCTCAAACTCAAAACACGATACCCTCTTGCAAGGTGAGTTTTCTGACTTTTGAACTATTCATATAGGTATTGTTAGGCTTGAATGTGTGAAGATAGAATGTAGATATCATTGCCCTGAAACTATACATGTCCATAGATTTCATTTGTGTTGCTTGAGCATGAAGAATTTTGAGTTTAAACTTGCTGAAACATTTAGGTCGGAATTTGGTACTTTCATAAATTCATCTTTATCTTTGAATGTTAGCTTAAATTAGTTACATGGTTGGATTCGTGGTGAAAAAATACACAAGTTTCATGTTTACATTTTTGAAAATGGTTGAAGAATGAGCAAGTTACAGATCCTTTGGCTGGAGGTTGAAGATAAAGTACAGTCAGGGCAAGTTATGTGTTATGTATTTATTGTTGTGCCAATATTAACAGATGTATCACCACCCCATTGGTTAAAGCGCGCGCCTTTCACCAAACGGACCTGGGTTGGAGCCCCAACGTCTGTTTTGCTCATTTTTTTCACATTTTTTCTGTTTCTTTTTTGTTTGAACATGTTTGGGGCCTCCAACACGGGCCACAAGTCATCCAGACCAAAGAAAATAACTCCACTATAATCAATTAAGGGTACAAGAGAGTCTTAAAGTGATTCACAAAATAGTGATAACAACCACAAATCACAAAGCAGACTAGCTTACAAATAAGAATCCAAAAAGTTGAAAAATTACCCAAATCTGCAACTTCAGTGCAAAACAATTATCTCTCAGCTCAGACTTCTTTTTGAAGATCCTAACGGTCAAAAGTTAGATATAGGTGTTGCAAACCTACCCTCCAAATTTGAGTTTGATCCGATAGCAACGAATCAGAGATCATCGATTAAGTGAGACTGGTGTAGAAAAAACGAGAATGACTTTCTTTCACACTTTCTCTCTTTTGAATCCTTAATTTCTCTCTATTTCTCTTAATCATAAATTGACATTCTCCACTTAAATAAGTGAGACAAATAGGCTATTTATATTTGAGTCTTTCTCCACATATGAATGGAGCTCAAGCCCAATATTTTCACGGATTATAGATTTGGCATAGACCTAAACTTTAAGATATCACATTTGCAATTCTCTAATAACACATTGATTATGTGCTAGATGAGTTGTGAAAATATTAGATCTTTGAAGGCAATTTTGATTATCTTTAAAATGTTCTCTGAGTTGAAGGTTAATTTTCACAAAAATTTGGTGGTCACAGTAAACGTCGAGGACTCGAGTCTAGTGGAGACTTTCGTGGTTGTTAAATTGTAAAATGGATTATTTCACACTTTTGTACCTTGATCTCCTACTCGGATATTAAACATATGTATACAACCCATTTGAAAAGGGTATTATGTAGTTTTTGGAGATCCTTGAGAGTTCTCCCTCTCTTTTTTGGTTATATATGTATGTATGGTTTATTTGGAACGTTTTCACTTCACCAATAACCAGCATAATTTGGCCGGCCCATGGAATGTTTTCTGATCAACTCATCAATGAACAACTAGTATTAAAATCGAACAAAATAACAACAATTTGCCGGCCAAGGATTTGAAACACTACCTTTTCTTCCTCTTGGCACAATATCTAACATTATGCCTCACATTATTATTTTGACTTATTTTCCCTAGCATTACAAGTGGAACTCGCGTTTACTTTAATCTAAACTATTGCTGCAAACACAACTTTCATTTATCAAGATGAAGTTTCTAACATGTAGCACTTATTTTTTATAATTCAAGTGATATTTTATTTCACTATAACCAAATGAAACCAACAAAAAAATTCACTATACTACAACAGACCCTGCTTTCTGCATATAAGTATACAAAGCTTGAACTATATTTTCAGCTTCAGTTTGGCATTGAAGCTATAACATGGCTGATTCACTCTCAGTTAATGTTGATTCATTACATAACCTTGAGTTAGATGCTAAAGAAGTAAGAATTACCACCTATGAGGCTAAACACTTTGCATCTAGCATCCAAAAGGTAATAGTAATAATTATCTAAAATGCAGATATATATTGTGGCTATTTGACTAATGTGAAATTCACTAACTTCAACTTTTCAAGTGTAGGCTATTGCTGAATTTGTAGGTACATATATTCTTATATTTGTAGGCTGTGGAGCTGCTCTTGTCAATGAGAGGCTACCAATCACAATAGTTGGCATAGCAATTGTTTCCGGCTTAGCTTTAACCGTCGCTATATATTCGGTCGGTCATGTCTCTGGTGGTCATTTCAATCCTGCTGTCACAATCGCGTTGGCCGCTGTCCAAAAAATTCAATTCAAACTTGTAAGTAATCCACATGAAGATCTATTTGATTTAGATCATTTGCAACGTATGTATGGTGCAATATGTTGCAGATTTATTATCTTAATAATTATGCAGCATATTGCATCATATATGTTCCTGATCCATACAATTTGTTACTAAAAAATAGTCTTGAAATATTATTATAACTCAATCACATGGATCATGATTAATTAGGGATTTTTCTCTAATTATTTTCTTTCCTAGGTGCCTGTTTATGTGGTGTGTCAGATAATGGGTGGCACACTGGCCACTCTCACTCTGAAAGTGTTGTATCATAACAAGGTGGATATTGGTGTAACATTGACCAAGTATTCAAATTCAACTTCTGATCTTGAAGCATTGCTGTGGGAATCCATAATTACATTCATATTGATGCTTACTATTTGTGGTGTTGCCACTGATCACAGAGGAGTAAGTACCACAAATTCAACTATCTGATTCTCATTTATGTATATTTAGTATCATACTCTTTATGTAACCATCTGGTTTCTATTATAAATAAATTTGATTTTTTTAATTCATGCAATAATTGATGTATCTGATCTATATATTAATTCTATCGATTGTTCAATAAACCAGAAATATTTATTTTGCTTATAATAGTGATTTGAGGGTATACTTACATGCTAAGCAAACATTTTGATGAACTAATATGTTGCTTTATTGAACCAGAGCAAAGAACTTGCTGGAGTTGCCATAGGAGTTTCAGTTCTGATTAACATCATCATCGCCGGGTATAGACATTTACATCAATCAATATTTTAACCGATGTAAAAACCTTTTTCACATCGGTTCCATTCTAAAAACAATAGCTTCTACGTCTAAGAAATAAACTCGACTGCTTGTTTTTTATGCAGGCCTATTACGGGAGCTTCGATGAATCCTGCAAGGAGTTTAGGCCCTGCCATAGTATCAGGAAATTACAAAAACATTTCAGTTTATATCATAGGTCCAACTATTGGAGCAATCTTTGCAAGTGTACTTTACACTTACCTAAGAGTAACAAAACCAACTCAACCAGAACTACCATAAGCACTTAACTTTTTATTTCATAAATTTCTACGAACTTGATCAAGTTTTTTGAGGTTCTGTAATCTTTAGATGACAACAAAATAATCAGAAAAAACAGAAGCACTTATATAATGTGCTTATTCCACAAAGCATGGATCATAACAGAACAAACCATTTCCGCGTTTACTCGCAATCATAAAAACAAGTGACTCGTGCATTACCTTGCTAGTACTATATTACATTTAAGGGAAGAAAGTGTATCTAAAGAGGGATCATCATATAAAGAAATATATCTGCGTTAATCATAAGAACAAACCCGAGTTTAAAGCAAAGATTCAAAAGTTGGTGTTTTTTTTTCTGGTCACTACACATAATATATATACTTTACAATAGGACTGCTACACATTTTGTACAAGAAGCAATGCAGATATGAAACTGTCGCGAATGAACTGAATTTCCAAAAACATTGAACATCAGCCATTAGTAATTTGTCGACACTTTCGCAAAATGAGCTTTCGTGTAATAATCTCCAATGCTATGTTCTCCATCTCACTTGGTGAGATAGCATTTTCCATATCCCTTGCTTCAAGTCTGCATTGTATATAATGTGAGTTTATCTGCAGCGAAAGAAAAATAATGTGAGTTAACAGCTTATGAGTTATGACATGTCTGCAAGCTGTTTTCAGATTATTTCAATATGCTCTCCAGAATAACTTATGAAAACACCTTATAGCTTAGACCTGTTTGGATTAGCTTGTTTGAGTTCATCTCCTGGCATAAAACTTGTGAGACTATTTGCATAAGCTTATGAAATCAATTTATAATTATGTCCATAAGTTGTTTTCGGTTTCTTTCCATAAACTCTGAGACAATTTATCAAAACAACTTATAATTCACATGCAAATAGTTTGAGCTTATTTTATCTAGTTAGAAATAACTTATACACAAACACTTAATTAAGTTGTTTCCAGTGATTTTGTCCTGTTAAGCCAGCTCAGTTGATAGCTGTGCAGAGACATCAGACTGTAGGGACGCGGGTTTGAACCCGTGATATCCCACTAATTCACCTTTAAAGGCTGAAATTCGAGCCACTAGACTACTTGAACAAAAAAAAGGTTGTTGTTTCCGGCGATTTTGAGAAATCTCACCCAGTTTGAGGTAGGCGTGTCCAACTCATCATTTGGTGAGACTGTGGATGCCTCTGCAAGTAAGGTGAAGTGGCTCCTATACCATTTTCATCATCTACAAATTGATCTGAGAAGTTAGAAGCCTGTGGCGACCACTCCGGAACTACACCTCCGTCTCTTTCTCTTCTCATACTACTCGAAGATTCTGCTGTTGAATCTTCTGCTGCATTTCTCAGCCAAAATGTAGTTGTAGTATTATTACGACGTTGTCTAGTGTTTCTATTTACATTCTGCAACATTCCTTGGTCCATTGGTTCTCGTCCATTTTGCCGTGTGTTTGCATTTGTTGGCACTTCAGCTCTGCTGTCTCCTGCTGAGTTTCGAACCGAAGAAGTTTCTTCGTCTTCCGCTCTCACTCTAGAATAAGTCATACTTGGTACCATTTGATCCTGGTAGCGCCGAGTACCGTGAAGCGGATTGTTCCTAACAGGTTCGTGTCTTTCCTCCATTTGTATGTCTTGAGGAAAAGCAATAGGGGCGGATTCAGTAGAGTCTCCAAGACCTTCTTCGGTTCCGTTTTCGGCTGCAGTTCTTGAAGCTGCTTCTAGTTGCCACATTTGTATAAGCGCTTCTTCAAGTCTCACTGTTGCTGCGTCTATTTCCACAATTGGAAGAGGGTAGTTTGAGCCAAGTTCAATACCTGCAGCTTGGAGTACTGATTCTGGTGCATTCCAAGGATGATGTATCCATTCAGTCGGTAGTCTTGCAAGTTCCGGTAGCCAGCGTCGCACATATTCTCCATTTGGATCGCATTTGTATCCCTCAAACTGAAAATCCAATAACCAAAATGAGTGCATCTATCATAATTACGTATACAAAATACCCTACAATATAAAAAAAGAGGGTTGAAACTAGAAACACTTGGGCCTGTTTGGATTGAATTATTTGAACTTATCTACTGAAAAAAGCATTTGCGATAATGTTCGAGAGATTATGAAAACGATTTGAAGCTTAACAATTTGATTGCTCGAGAGATTATGAAAACGACTTGAAGCTTAACAATTTGATTTTATATTATCTTTCATTACATAAATAACTAACACGTACAAATCCTAGCTGAACTGGCAAAAGCTGATATTGCTAGGTTGGACACCATCACCAAGGTTTGAATCAAGGTACGCTCAATTAAGTTGTTTATCCAAACAGGATCACTCAAAAACCACTGAAGTGTTTATAAAAGCAACAAGATAATTCAACTCATAATGTTGGTTTATTTTACCTAATAAGGAAATAAAATATTCAAACAGATAATGATCAAACATAAGAAAAGGCCAATATAAAGCTAGATTATATACAGAAGCAATTGCACCTGTGGATTATCAATTCTGTCGAACTCACGACCGTCGGGTAAAGTACCAGATATATACTGCCAGCCAAGAGCATCACTTTCAAGATCAGCGTCCAAAAGGGTATCCCAAAAATATTTCATCCCCCATCTCCAAGGAAGCTGCAAAACTTTAACAAAGAAACTCGAAACGACAACGCGAATTCGATCATGAAGCCAACCAGTAGCCCACAACTCTCTCATTCCAGCATCCACCAAAGGGTAACCCGTTCTTCCTTGTCTCCAAGCCTTAAAATATCCTTCGTCGACCACCCAAGGGAAAAACTTAAGGTGTCCAAGAAGAGGCCTTTCGTGACTATTCGGGTGGTTGAAACTGATGTACCTTGAATACTCTCGAAGACCAATTGACTTGAGAAACAAGTTAACACTTTCTTCGCCGGCTTTGTTTCCTTCATTCGCCCAAAACACTTGCTTAATTCGGACGAGATGGAATACTTTCTTGACACTAACTTCTCCAAAATGCAAATGTGGGGAGAGGAATGAGGTTGTGGCGCTGTCTGCTTTCCTACGATTCACAGAGTACTCGATCAGTGGACCGTTTATAAATGTCGTCAATGCCTTGTTCGCATTGCTCCACCCTGGTGACCACGCTCGAGCAAGAAGCGCGTTGCTTGATTTCTCTAATTCATCTTCAAACACCAATGTATCAGAAGGACATCTTGATACATCACCTGCAGCATGACGGGATCATTAACGGAATGCAAATCAAAGTTAAAACCGATGGATGTTTCATCAAACACGACAATACATCATAGAGAAAATGCAACTAACAACTACCAAGTACTTGAGCAAATATTTCAGTCCTTGAAATTTATGTCATCAATTTAGTACATTAATAATATAAAGTATAACTTTTCTTTCACAATTTTTTTATATTAAATTATTCCATCAATTATACAAGTGTTACGAAACTAGTCCCTAAATCAGAACACTTTGAAAGTCGAAGTTCGTGATCCTCCACGTCGTCACAAATAAGGACATATACATGATCGGCGTTGATTTGACAAAAATAGAAAGAAAAAAAAAAGAGTCGAGCTTTGAAGCAAGCAGATTCATTTTTCCTTGTTTTTGTCGAATCGAAACCGATCAAGCCATAGTCTCACACTTGAAAAAATGGAGGATCGTCAAGTTCTACGTTCAAAGGACGACGTCAATCATTGTTAAAAGTTTAAGAAGGTTCTCAAGTAACGGTCCAAAATGGTCCACCGTCGAATTTGCCTTTTTTTGCTGTGTTACAAAAAAGCAACTTTTAAACCGATTAAAGCAAGTATTCTTTTCTCAAAACGGATTAGTTTGTTCATTATTCCAGAATCCAAATTAGGAACCACAAGTGATTATGCAGCTGGCAAAGAAATCAGAAAACAACCATTATCGAAAAAGTTGAAATAAAAGTGAGGCTAAAAAAAGTAAGGAACAAAGCAAACCTGGAATAATTCTTTTAGGTGGGAGAAGAGGTGCTTGTGGGTCATAAGGCATGCTAAGGCATCTTTCCCAAAAAGAATCAAAAGTTGTGAATGGTTGGCCATGTTCATCATTCACATCCCATGGTTCATACAATAAATCCGAGTTGTACGATCGTACCGTAATTCCTTGAGCCGTTAAAATTTCCTTCGCTCTATGATCCCTCACCAGTGACAACGGATCTGTAACATAGAAATGTACACAATAACACAGTTTCGAAACCAGAAAAACAATGTTAAATATCATCACAACTTATACGAATGAAATTAACATATACATCACAAACTAATAAGATAATAGAAAAAATTATAAAATTATAATCAAAAGAAAGATTATACTTGGCGACTAAAACCTCGAATTGTTGCAACCAAGCATTAATTCTACAATCTACAATGATGTTGTCTATATTACTAAGCAATGAAAACATATCGAATTCGTAGTATTATATTCAAGATATCAAAAGATATATGAATTGCACACAATAAAACAAGAGTAATCCATCAATTTAGTCCCCTACTATCCCTCTCTTCTACTTAGTCCCTAAAGTATATTCATCAGAAATTGCCGACATCGATAATGTTATTCACCATTTTTACGAAGAAAAATAACTTGTGGTTAATTCACACCACGGCGACCACCGCAATTAGTATATCAACACCTGAACAGACCAAAATCGCAAACCGTTATTTATAGGTAGTCCTAAAAAAACTATATGAAATCTGTCAAATTAGTCTCTCCTGTTACAGATTCAATATATTTAGGGATTAAATTGATAATTTAGTTTCAAAACCTAACAAAACAAGCAAGATAATCATAAAAACAAAATTGAACCAGCATGCAATAGCATATCATATTCAGCAACAAAAATTCAGATAAGATAAGAACAAAACAAACAAAAAAAACTAACCATATAAATGGTTGAAAAAGATTTGAGTGGCTCCAGTGGACTTAACAACTTGAAGCAAAGAAGAAATACTATCAGTTGATCTTTTGGTAACAAGAGGAGTACCAAGATTCCTCAAAGATGAATCAAGATGAGACAAACTGTTCTTCAGCCACCATCTTGAAACTCTACCAGGATAATATTGTCCTTCTTCCTCAGGTGCCCATATGAAAACACCAACCACAGCACCTGCTCTAACACCTGCTGCAAGTGCAGGGTTATCCTCTACCCTCAGATCTCTTCTGAACCAAACTATGCTGCATCCACCACTTGACATCTTCTCCACACAAGAAGAAAAAAAGGGTTTTTCTTTTTCCCCTTACCCTTTACTATATTGAGGTGAAATACAATAAAAATGCAAACTTTAATAAATTATCTTTCTCCAAATATATAGCATTACTTTTGGGGTGTTTTTTTTATTTATTTATCAAAGATTGTTCTTTTTTCACTCAAGTTGCAAGAACTATGAAAGGTCCAAGGAAAGAGAGTGTGAGAGATAGAAGAAATGAAAGAGGATTGGTTGAGTGGGGGATACTATGAAATTGATAGAGAAACTGCAGCCACTACTTTTTTATGCTGTGTGTAGATTTTTCAATTTTTGCTATTATCCTATATATGCATAAGAACAAAACAAATCACATCCAAGTCTCTATTTTTTTCAAAATACCAAGTCACACATAATGGAGAATCAACAAAAAGATAGATACAAAATTACTAGAAATAATATATTATTTTTTACACGGACTAATGAGATGACACAAAATTTCTTTCCACTTAATTTTAGATTTTGAGTTCAAACATAATCTTAGAAAACCACATGGGTATTGTTATCTTGATGATCCAACACAACACTATCTAGGTTAGTTCATAGTGTGTGTGAGTTTGTGCACTCTTTTAGATTGTTTTTTTTCTAATAATAGAAGGAAAATCTTTTGTTTATGTTCTTGTTCTTGTGTCTAACTATAATAAACAATAAGCAACTATTTTTTGAGAAAACAATAAAAAAAAAATCATGTGTTTTATTGTTGTTTAATGTCATTTGTAACATTTCCTTAAACTTTGTCATTTATAACATGTTCCCTAGCTTTCACTGCAATAGGAGGTGGTTACTTTGCTTTTAATGCATTAGTACTTTTATTTTGATTTTACCTTACTACTTCAATGTATTTATATCATAAAAAAGTTTCTTAAGTCCTTTTAATAAATAAAAAAATTTAAATCTTTAATTGCAATAATTTTTTTCACTAATATATTTCACCCATGTTTTTGCTACCAATAATGTTAAATATATGATGAAAACAAAAATTTATTTTCTCTTTTAAAAGTAGTTAAACTTGTAAAAGCAATCTAAATTATTAATAACTTTTAATGAAAATAAATATATTATATTATGAACCGAGGAGATCTATAAAAAAAGGATTTAATTGAGATTTTCTTTGAAAAAAAATTTTACACTATTATTTAAGTGAAACATATCGTTTTGTCATTTCATGTAAAATTTTTAAAAATAATAGTATGACACGGTTAGATTCATGATCGTAATTGATTGACGGTGTAAATTTTTTTTGTTATTATATCATCCATTTTCTCTAAAAAAATAAAATAAAACACTAAACAATTCAAAAAATAAAGATTAATCAAAACTAATTTAGAGTTTATTTGTAAATAAAATTTCAAACAATCAAATCAAAGATAAAGATAAAAATGATAGAGGAATAACACACAATTCGGTTCAAAAAAATAAATTAACATCAATTAGCAAAGAGGAACAATTCCTAATTTCTCTCTTTTTTTTCTTTCAATCTACGTTGAATATCACTAATGGTATGTTTGAATAGATGGAAATGGATGGAATGAAATAGAGCGGATGTTATGTTGTTTTGTTTGATTTTACAAAAAATGAATGAAATGAAATAGAATATGATGAAACTCGTTCCATCCAATATCATTATTTTAGTTTATTTTTCATTCCATCCCCCAAATTGAGGTGTATTCAATTGAATGAAATAAATTAATAACATAATTTTAATTTTGTCTCCTAAAATGTCACTTCATTAACCATAATATTTTTGAAGTAAAAGATAAAAATAAAATAAAAAATTATAGACTTAAATGCAGTTTTAACCCTCCAAATTACTCGATTTGGTCTCCCAAGATTTCATTGTTTGATTTTGATCCCTCAACTTTTCTAATTACTTGACTTTGGCCCCTAAGTTTCAATTACTTAATTTTAACCTTTCAAATTTCTCTCTTTTGTATTTGATAGTCCCCTAATGACATGTAGACTAAACTTCTCTTTTTTTGTTACTTTTTCTTTTTTTAAATTTTCTTCTTTATAATTTTTTTTTCTTCTCTTTTTAATAGTTAAGCTTTGAATGTAATATCTTGAAAATCTTAAATATTTTATTTAACACATGTCTAATAGAAAATTATTTTGACAACAAAAAAGACAGACCACTAGCTAATTAAAATAATAATTTTTTTTACCAATAACTCTCTCATATTTAAGCATAAAGTCATGAAGTATAACAACCATATTGGTCATATAGAATTTCAATCTTTTATACAAGGAATATTGTATGTTTGTCCATATATTCTAAAATAACTTTGCTAAAAGGTTCACACATATTATTGGTTAAAGAGTCTGTTATTTTAATTAGCTAGTCGTTTATCTTTTTTGTTGTCAAAATAATTAGCCATTCAGTATATGCTGAATGAAATAATTAATATTTTCAAGATATTTTGTTCAAGGCGTAACTATTAAAAAGAGAAGAAAAATAGAATTGTAGAGAAGAAATTATAAAAATGAAGTAAAAAAAGAAATCCAACAAAAAAGTTTAGTCTACATGTCACTAAAGGACAATCAAATGCAAAAAGGGACAAACTTGAGGACCCAAAATCAAGTAATTGGCAAACTTCAGGAGTCAAAATCAAGCAATTGAAACTTTGAGGACTAAAATCAAACAATTGGAAAATTTAGGGGACCAAAATAAAAAAATTGAAACTTAGGAGGCCATAATAAAGCAATTGGAAAACAGGGGGAGGGGGGAGACTGCATTTAAGACAAAATTATAATGCTTACCGCTTCGTTCGATTTTCAAACAGTGGAATGAGATATTAGTTTCACTCTGTGATCGGTGGATTTAGAACTGACTGTTTAACGCTGGTTCACGAAATGTCGCGGAAGCAAGAGTCACCACCGTCTTTTATTTTCTCCAACATGGACAGGACAAAAGCACAGCAAAATTTCTTATGAGATTATTTCTCGGTTCGGGAGGTAGATTTATAGAAAGGGAAGGTGTTAGCACCCTTTCTATCCATGGTTATCCATGGGCTCTTAGATACTTGCTCTTATGTTTTCAAAATGTTTGCTTTTCAAAGTGTGAGTGGGTTTGAAAAAGTTTCGTTTAAAGATTTCAGAATGACTCTTGTATCAGTCCTCAAGAGTGTTTGAAAAACTGTTTTGAAAACTTTTTGAAAGTGTCGGTGTGAAAAAGAGTTTTGATTTGTTTTTGAAGAGAGCAAGTATCTATAAGTCATCTACCTACCCTAAGGAATTAGGCTGTGTAAATATCCTTAAGGTAGTGTCATCCCACCATTGAGAGGTAGGTAGCACCACCGTTGGAGGTGTTCGGGTCAATTCGAGTTTAGGGACAGTGTGGTCACTGAAGCAACAGTTAGGACACCTTAGAAGCTACCCTTATGTCCTTGATCCTTTTTAAATTCGAGGCAACCGTTTCGAGGCAACTATTCCGAGGCAACCGTTTCGAGGCAACTTGTTTTGAGGCAACTGGATCATGGACATAAGGACTTACTAAGACGTCCTATACTTGACGACCACGTTTCGAAGGCAACAGGTGAGGCGTACCCTAGAAGTGGTGTGTGAATTTGTGTGTTGTTTTCATGTTTATCAATTATCTTTGATCATGACATGGTGAGCTACGCATTGTTTTTAATTAGCCATACATTCTTTCATGCAATTAGAATTTAAAAGTGCGGAAAGTAAATGCAGAAAGATAAGTCCTACGCTATTACAAGGCGCGGGTCTATACATCGCCAAATTACAAAGACCCGTTTGGTAAAAGATGCGGAAAGTAAAAGACCTAATTACTATTACAAGCCTTTAGCAGTTACATAATATTTAAAAAAGAAAAAAAAGAATAACATGCGAAAGAATAAAAGTTAGGACGTCCGAGGGTTTTGACCCTTTTGAAATTAAATTGAAATTAAAGTCTAATTATTATTTAATTTAAAGAAAAGAAATTGTTTTTATGTTTTTTGGTATTTATGAAATAAAGAAAAATTGAAGATCAAGAGAAACCCTAATTCTAAATATTTTAATTATTAAGAAAAAGATTAAAGTTATCCTAATTTACTAATTAATTAATGTACATGTTTATTTACAAAAAATAATAATTAATAAGAATAATAAATAATGAGAAAAATGATTTAATTAAGAAAAAAGAATAAAATGTCAAAACCTAATTCTATGTATTTTATTTATTAAGAAAAGTGTTAAAATTAAAACTTAAATTAATCTAATTAATTGTTAGAGTTTATTTACAAAAAAATATCTTAATGGTGAATTTAATATTAATAAAAAAATAAACATTTTTTAGTTTCTGATTTATTATTGTGAAAATTATTTTATGGTAAAAAAGAAATAATTAAAACATTAAAAAGAATTAGAAAAGAAAATCAAATAAAAATTAAAAATGATGCAAACCATGGGGGGCATCAGGCCCAGAATGGAGGTATGATTTGAGAAATTTGGCCCATTGAATCAAAGCCCTGTTTGACTTTCCAGGATAGTGTGCACGTTCATTGACTGGTATGCATCATGGAGTTCCTTCTGAGGCCCTTGGATTGAAGCTCATGGCCATGTGGCAAGCTTGGACGTGAGGCTCATGGTGGAGCGTTGAAGGGATGCTGCATAGAAACACATTATAACAAAATTTATGAATTAAGTGGGGGGACCTGGGAATCGAACCCAGGTCCCTATACCTGCAAGACAACTCATCCACCAACTGAGCTAACGCGTGCGTTTGTAATGTTAGTGGAACACAAATAATATAAAAGAAACAAAAGCTAATGATATGGGACAAACGAAAACGCGCCAGATTTCAAATGCTCCGGTCATCCTAAGCCACGTCCATCTTCTTCCTGGTTTTCCCTGCAATTATAAAACAAATAGCGGGGGTTTTAAACCCCCACTAAATAGCACAGTGCATAATAGCGAATAGGCGTACAGGTAACATAAATTGAGCGCGAGGTATT